ATTTTCGACGCTATTGGTTGTGACGTGATTGCATTATGTCTTGTAGTGAGGAGATTGCGTTTACAAATATAGCGTGGCATTTTAAGTGCGGGGAATTTGCGATTCTTATATTTTGCGTGGTTTTTGCGACTTTTTCGTTTTTTCGACATGTTTGCGTGTAATAATATTTGCATCTTATTTGCGTCTGTTTAATTTGCGAGTCATTTGCGTCGAACAAATTATGAGGGAGTTGTGATGTGTTTGTGACAAAATATTTGCGTCTTATTTGCGAGTCTTTTGCGTTGAACAATTTGTGAGGGACTTACGATGGTTTTGCGATAAAATATTTGAACCATTTTTTATTATAAAATATCTCTATTTAATTAATTTAATTTTGAAAAAATTACAATGATGAAATTTTAAATTCAGATTAATTACATAAAACCGAATATTGAACAGTAGATGTTACAAAAATTAAAAACCTGAATATTTAATACAACGAAAAAAAAATAAAACTAATGCGAGTTCATATCAAATAATCCCGAAACAAAATCGTTCGATGTTCCGGATGTTCTTTCTCCTCTTGTCGTTGCTGCTTCCTTCTTCTTCCGCATCATCTTTGCGATCGCAGGATTCGTAGACGCAAGTATCGCAAACATTTCATTGAAGCTGTTGGAGTCTTCCTTTAGAATGTGATTATCTTTCTTTAGTGATTTGATCTCTTGTTCTGCGAGCTCCAACTTCTTGTCTCTAATGGGATCAGAGGCGTAGGACGGAATCAAGCAATAGGGAACTCCCTCCTCATCGATCGGAATGAACCCGTGAAAGCCATCTTCCCCTTTTTGGTATGAGGAGCAAGCTGTAAAATAATAAATTTCAGTAAAAAAATAAGTAACTAAATTGTGTAAGTTATAACATTATAATTAAAATTTTATTGACAAATGAGAATTTTGTTACCTGAGAGGCGACGCGGTTTACGTCCACCGGAGTTAACTCTACGGGTCTACCATCAGGAGTAGGCTACGATGTGATTTCTTCGACTCGGGCAGTCACATCACCGTGTAACTTCTCCACCCGTCGATCAACCCACGTCCCGTCTTTGCGTCAGTGGGTCTTCTCCCAAAGCTCGGGCATTGTAGCAGGAGCTCCTTTCTCATGTGCTTGCAAAATTAGTATGTTAATCTGAACAAACTTATAATTAAAATTTTTTTTTAAAAGAAAATTTATGTAAATAAAAGTTAACTCACAATTCAGAATGCTTGTTCCTCAAAAGATAATTGGCCCGAGACATGCTTCGACATCTCCACCCCGTCACCTTTTGTGCGACGGGCAGCTGAGCATTTCCCGCTTGTAACTTTGGAAGTGGGCAACTGCCAATACGAGACGAGACCATTCCAAACCTTCAGATCGAGCCAACGCGGCATACAGAACTCCGGATCGGGATTTATTTCCCATTCATCCTTTCATCGGCTCACCTGATCAGCGAGATATTTCTTGGCTTTCTCGTCGAATCTCTCCCGGACTAGTATGTTGATTTCATAGTTGATAGTCCCAATAGTATCGTTGCTACAAAAAATAAATAATAATGTTAAAAAATAAAAAATAAACATAATAACATTAAAAAATGGACGAACTCAATTACCATGAAAGTTTTATACCACCTACTCCTCGTCTCTTCAGGGACCTTTTTCCAACTCGGGTGAGGCATTTTGAAGTCCCGCTCAACAATCTTCCTAATAGTCGTTCCAACGGAACCCTTTGCGAACGTAATAAAAATCAAAAAACTATTGTTCAAATTAATTCAAAAAAGTATTGTTCAAATAATTTCAAAAATAAATCTTATTACCATAAAGCTTTTCCGGTAGGATATGGCGTCAATCTCCTTAGTTTCTTCCGTGCGGGACTAACGAGAAGTTCTTCTAGTGTCATACATTGGAACCGTTGAGCTTCTTCGGGGGTAACACCCTCGGCATTCTCCTCGTCATTCTTCTCGTCATTCTCCTCGTCATTCTCGTCATGTGGTTGTGGAGGATGATGACCAGGCTGCGTCTCGGGAACAAAACTCGGGACAGGAGGAGAGGTATGAGTTCTCGGGCCTTGTGGATTAACTCGACGTTGTTGTGGGAAAGATGTATTTGTAGAATCTAGATAACTGGTGTAGAGTTGTTTGCCATCTGCAATTAAAAACAAAAAATATTGAGTAATCGAATTTGGTAAATCTGTATAATTAATTAATCGCAATTAAAATCAGCAAAGATACCAACAAAAAATTATCTAAATTCAGAAGAACAATGCATATGTATTGAAAAGGAATTAAACGGCTGAAAATTTTTTTAATTTCTGAAAATGTTTATGATTTTAATTCATATCCAAAATTATCCCAACAAAAATTAAAGATGGCGATCAAATATGGATAATAAAATTTGTTTTAACTATCGATGATATAGTGATCATATTGTGTATGTGTTCACTATATCACAAAATTACATATATAAATTCTTAAATCAATGAATTTCATGCCTAAATTATAATCTTAATACATTACAACCAAACCTAAATTATAATCCTAACAGATTATACAACAATCTAAAACAATAAATTAAAAGAAAAGTAAACAATTTACCTTCAAATTGAGAGGCGAGATTCTTTAGGGAGAGAGGCGAGAGAAAGAAGAACTAGAGAGAGAGCCGAGAGAGAGAGGAACGAAAGAGAGGATCGACAGAGAGAAAGATGCAACAGAGAGAGATGCAAGAGAGGAACGAGAGATCTCTCAGAAAAAAAAAAGAGAGGAATGAGAGAGAAAAGGCTGTTCTGCGAGTGAGATAAGTTTTTTTATATATGGTTTAATTCCGTCGCAAAACATACTCAACACCATTAACCTAATTTTTACCCCAATCCAATTTTTTAGTTTTGATCGCAAATCCGTCGCAAATCAAGGGAAATTAGTTAATTTTTTTTTGTTTACCGCCACATAGCGTCACTAATAAGTCGCAAAGCAAGCGAAATTAATAATTTTTTTTGGTTTTACCGCCACATTTCGTTGCAAATACGAGGCAAATCTAGAAAAATAAATTAAAAATTATTTTCTCTGCACAAATTCACGCAGTTGCGTCGCAAATGAAGCGAAATTAATTTTTTCGGTTTTATCTACACATTCCGTCTTAAATCCGACGT